ATTCCCCTACAAGTATCCACATATTTTTTGGACCTTTCATCAATATTGTAATTACTGGTGTGGACAAGACACAAATTAATAGAGAGACAATATAAAATCCAGAATATGATGACTATAAATTCAGTGGGTTTTAGTACAATGAATTTAGTTTCAACATTCGATTTTAATTGGTTTGAATGTTAATTCTCATGTATTCCACTTCAAACTACAAAACCCCATCTTATTGATGTTGATCTGAAATTATTCTCTAATGTTGTCTAATGAGCTTTGTTGTTATTTTTAGGACATGATAAAATTGTCAAGACAGTACGCTTCAACCATGATTCGAGCTTGCTCGCATCTGGAGGTTGGGATTATACAGCTATTCTATGGGACCCTGTGGTTAGCAAGCTTTTTAATTTAATTATATTTTCTAGCATTATGTTCTCTAGTCATACAAACTCCAACCTACCCATTTGCCCTCGTCCCCACTCCAAATCAACAAATGCCTCCTCCCCTAGTCCTTTTGTTTACCTTGGGCAAGATTTTCTGTTTAAGTTCTGTTTAGACTGTTAGGTCTGTTTAGGAGAACCATTTCTCCATTCCTATCCCAAATACTTCCAAGCCTAATGGGCTTGAAGACAGATTTGGAGGGCAATTAGTGGCTGTGGGCAGGAATTGGCATGTACTCGCCGATTTAATGGCTCGACAGCAGCCATTAATATGGTAGCTCATTTGCTAGTCAATGGCGGGCAGAAGTCTTCAGGAGAGGAGGCAGAAACCCGACGCATGAGGCAGGGCTACCCCCCTAAGATGTAGCATTGCCACCCTTGAGGTCACACTATGTGTGAAAGACAAGAGAGCTTGTTCCCAAATGTTGGCAGGAGAAGACCAATAACCAGATTTAATCCACCTGGCTGTGATGCAAAATGTAAGCAGCTACAGTGTTGCCAGGAGATCTGGGTGCAGTGGCTCTGGAGGCAAGTATGATGGGTGTCCAAGGCCATAGATTCGTATAAGTCACAGCAGTGGGTCCCTGTGAACATTTAGATCAGGTGGCTTTGGGTGAACAGCATAGGAAAATAAGAACAGGAACAGTCCATTCAGCCTGTTGAACCAATTAGATCAAAAACTGATTTCTATCTCCCTCAATGCCACCTTCTTGGCTATCTCCATATCTCTTGACATCCTTGATATCCAGAAATCTATTGACATCTGAATAAATTCAGGGACCATGAGAAAGGAGAATACATTCTACTCATGTGGACCATCATGTCTCATATACAAAACCCTCCATTGAAAGAGTGATCAACCTCTGAGAGAGTACTGAGAATACGTGCAGTTCTCAGTAACACTGATTGTCTCTTGGCATTGATGGCAGAGAAAAGCATGGAATGGATCCCAGTTGTATCCTAGATGGTCATTTCCCTCCTGTGATCCAGAACACCATCTAACAAGCTGGAACAGTCACTGAAGAGAATGGGCAACCCACCATTGTGTTTCTGAGGCAGAAATCTCAGGTTCCATGTGGCTGGATGGGTGCAGTTTCCTGCCGTGCTGATTCTCTGATATGTTTAGGTAGTTTCTTCAGCAGAATACTCAATGCTGAGGAAACACCTCCTTCCTTCTTCCTACCTTTCTCATTCCTGGGGGATCTGCAGCAATACTTAAGAGATTTGAAACTTATTGCTACTTACCTTAATCCCATGTCTAACTGTTGTTTGCAGTTAACTGCCCCGTCATTGCTCACAGCAGCAATCTTTCTTATGACCACATGATTCCTGGAACATCATGATCTGCTCAAGTGACCAAGCACATGCACACATACACACACCATATGCTGTGCTAACCATCTGCTCATCTGCTGGTCAATAGTTGGATGTCCCTCTCAGCCTGCCTTATTGAATGGAACAGAAATGACTACACCCACTGTGTTGCTGCCTCTCTCCACTTGACAGTTTTATACTCAGTGTAGATCCTATGATACCCTCTCAACCTGCCATGAAAAGTTCAGATTCAGCTTTTAAAGACCTGATAATAGCTTGGTAACAGGCTTAATTGGACAATGTTATGAATCTGATGGATTTGCCAGGTTCTGATTCCTGCCTTGAGCCCAATGCTGATGGTCAGAATATTTGGCGTAAGGCCAGATTTGGAAAGTTAAGGCATCAGGTCCTGCCACCATTTGGTTCTCAACCTCTGAGCCTGGTCTTTGTACATTAACCAGTGTCCACCATCATCTGTCAAACATGATTTGGGCACATCCTGAGTCAGAAGATTTTGAGTTAAGCCTCACTGCAGGCACTATGCTGTTCCCAGGCTGCTCTTTCAGTGCTTCTGTAGGTGTGAATCCATTGATAAGATAGGAATCACTTGCTGCTTTTCAGCACAAGTGCTATGAAACCTTGTTTGTACGTTTCTGTAGAGTTTCAAATATTTTCGTTTACTCAATGACAAGCTGGTTATTCTGATTGATAATTTTTGCAGTATATTACAATACTAAAAGAGCTGTGATGATGATGCAATTGCATTTCCACGGTGAACAGATTATTGTGGTAAGTATGATGTCTGGGATGGGTGTGACAAGTTCCAAACCAAGGGATTGAACAATCAATGCTGTCTGCCTGAGCATGCAGTGTCCCCATTAGATACACTGTACCTACATGGGGCTGATCACTTTGCAATGAGTACTCTGATTGACTCCTTTGATTTCATTTCCCCGTTCTGTATGTAGCCGTAGCTGCAGGAAGGTGATGTGGGGCAAGATTTGTAGCCCCCCAATGTGGATGAACATTAAGATGGGCAGTTTGTTAGGACTATCTGTTTACACCAACAATGGGCAGCCACAGAATGAAAAAGGCCAATTCAGATTTATTCTGAGAGGCTGATTTCCATGCACCCTACAGGCACCTGGAGCTGTGGGCTATAGGAGGCAGCAGACTAATATCAGGGCACCAAGTAAATCTAGAGACCTCCTCCTAAGTCCTCCTCCTGTCTGGCCATGGGGCAGCCCAAGGCACCTGTGGAACTACAGTGTGCTGGTTGTTCGGACGATCATTTAAGGTGAGAGAGAAAGGGTGCCTCCATCTTGGGATACTACATCTGTCTTGCTTGAAAAGGCTTTCTGCTTCAGTGCTGAGGACCTGCTGTATTGGCCTTTTAGTTTCTGGGGCCCAGCTGCTATTCAACTGAATGCTGAGCCCACCCTCTGATTGCTAATTGGACAATTTGAGGAAATCATGGCCAGCAACTGGTTTCCATCCCTATAATGTCGGTTCTTACTTGAACTTGACAGCAAGCTCCTGAAACTCATGGAAGAGCTGTTGGCTTTGTAGCTTGTGGAGGCCTGTCTCCTCATCTTGGCCTATACTTGGTGGAGTGGTGCCTGCCCCCAGCCTATCGCAGTATTTGTGTCTTTCTAATTGAGAGAGAAATTTGTGGCCCTTTGTAAACCATGGCTTGACACCTGTCTTTTCCTGTCAATGTACAGCTTGCTCTTTAAACTATTTAACATCTTATTTCTTTTAACAGTCAGGCCAACACGTGAAGTCATTTTCTGGGCATCAGAATGTCATCGAAACCTGTGCATTTTCAATCCATGGAGATCTTTTGGTAATGTGGTTTCCTATATGATTATACTTCTATTGTGCCTCCAATTATCACATCATATTTACTACACAAATTCATTTAGCGTTGCTTTAGGAACCAGTGCTATATTTTTGTTTATTCATTCATGGGATGCAAACATCATTGGCTAGGCCAGCATTTATTGTCCATCCATAATTGGTAAGAGGGTGGTTGAGACTCAACCACATTGCTGTGGATTTGGAATCACATATAGGGCCAAACCAGGTAAGGACAGTAGGTTTCCCTTCCCTAAAGGACATTAGTGAACTAGATGGGTTTTTTTATGACCATTGACGGTGTTTGCATGGTTGGCATTGTGTTAGATTTTTCTTTTAATTTAAGATTTTTATTAAATTCATATTTAACATCTGCCATTGTGGGATTTGAGCTCATATCCCCAGCACATTAACCTAGGGCTATGGATTACTAGCCCAGTGACATTACCAGCACACCAGCACACCACCAGCTCTTCATTATATAGTAGTTATATAGTAGTGAAAGGTGGTTAAATGAAAAGAATGATGGAGTGGGTACTAGACCCTGATGCAGGATTTGGGAAAGGTGTGTGGAAGCATCGTCATGTAGATAAATTCCAAGGTGTTTAAAAGTTGCCAGAGAAGTGAAGATATAATTAATCAACTTGATGTTGCTGATAACAGAGTCTGATTTCCTACTCGCTAATGATCTCCACTGGCCACAGATGTAAGGTGTGAGGATTTCAGATCTGGACAAAGTTGTGTTTGCCTATAATTCACCCCAAACGCCAAACAGCATTTACTGTCTTTATCCACCCATAGGCAATAAGTGAGGTAATGGAGGGTGAGGGAACCTCAGGAACCGCATCTAGGGCAGAGAATTGACATGGGACAAAGCAAGAACCTTGAAAAATGGAAACGTTACAATTTAATCCATTGAAATTTAAAAAGTCCGTCAGAAGTGCATCTGAAAGACTGAATGGGGATATTTTTAATGACAGTATTGAACCTCTTTAATACATTTCCAAATGACGTGATTGCTATAATCATAACCATCCTTGTAAATCCAGGCCATGCTTTTTCAGTGTTGGTTCTTAGAGATTTCTTTGAATAATCTGTTGAGTTTCTTGTACAGGCCACTGGATCCTGGGATTGTACAGTAAGAGTGTGGAGTTTACGAGGAATGAGACGAAAATTCATCTTGGAAGGCCACAAGGGCAACGTGAGCAGTATAGCCTTTTCTGGAATTGGAATGCTGGTGAGCTGAATCGTTAAAGGAGATAGAAACTGTAGATATAGAAATACCAGAGGCACAGAATGACCAATGGCTTACTGGCTATATTGAGGTGTATGGTGTGGTACAGAGCCAATCAGACTAAGAAGACCTCTGGCTGAAGCTAAGCTACGTGGTCTTAGCTAGGCCGGCAGTAGTGTCCTAAAATTTGCCTTGACTGAATTGGATTACTGGGGAAGCTGTCAAATGCAGAGAATGCTGGAGAATCTCAGGTGATCTGGCAGCATCTGGGAAGAGGGAAACAAAGTTAACGTTTTGAGACTGTTCTTCAGAACTTAAGTCGCACTGGACTGGAAACAGTAACCTTGTTTCTCTGTCCACAGAAGCTGCCAGACCTGCTGAGTTTCTTCAGCTTTCACTGTGTTTGTTTCAGATTTCCAGCATCAACAGTATTTTGTGATGTTTTTCAGGGAAGAAGCCAGGTTCCTACTTTGATATGTGAAGTTAGTAAATGCCTGGTGAATAAAAGATCAGGCTCTGTACAAATGACCCAATATATTCTCCATGGTTTGACAAATGATGGATAATTTGTTGGTAAAGACACAGAAGTAACCTATGCAACCAAATTGCATTAAGCCAGTGGCTTCAGGAGGGAGAATTAGCAAAACAATATCCTGTAAAATATATGACATGCATGGACGATCAAATTATTACTCAAATTCTACCAAGGGTAAATTCTTCTGATTGTTTCATAGGCTTCAGGTTCGTGGGACAAGACTATACGTGTATGGGATCCAAGAAAGGGTCTCCTGATCTTTCTTCTGAAAGGGCACTTTGGCCGGATAATGGCCCTATCATTCTCCATGGATTCAATTCTATTGGTGACAGGATCAGAAGATGAAACGGTAAATGTGAAGGGATTGACTGGTGTTGGAATTGTTGTTGTCCATTGATAGTAAGGCTGACTCCCTCTCATCTTGTTCTCATAGATTCGTATGTGGGATTGTGAGGACGGAAAGTGTAAGAAGATCCTTATGGTAATATATCTCCAAGCCTTTGTTGAATCTATTTAATATGAGCAGTTTGTTATCTAGTCAATGGTCAGTTTATACGGATTACAAGGTGGTTCTTGATGTAGTGTCCCTGCCCCTGGACCAGGAGGCCTGGGTTAAAGTTCCACCTAACCCAGAGGTGTATAATAACATCTCTGAGCAGGTTGATTAGAAAATAAACTGATTACAAATGTTTATGTTGGAAAAACATTTTCATTGTAAATGGAATCTGTACCTTAATTTCAGACTGTTGTGATAGAATCTTCACATTTTGAAGATATGTTTCTTTCTTTTCATAGTGTGATTTGGATTTCATTTCCACTTGCCAAATTTCCCCAAACAGTACACTTTTGGTTGCAGGAACAACTGGTTCTTTCTTGGCAGCTGGTTCTACAACATCCGTTCTGCATCAAGAGGTTTCAGACGTAAATGTGAAAAGACAAATGATATAGGAGTAGTTATTCTGGCTTCAAGTTATTCAAGCAAATCACTTTAATGTTAAAGATGTAATGACGTATGATGACCACAGTATTAAAAGTAACTTTGTGCAAAGTGATTCAGCTGCTTTGTGTAAAAATCAGTGGTATCTTGGAAGGAGTAATGTCACAACAGGATTTATATTTTAATCCTTTGCAGTTAGTGTTTGATATATTGTCATTAGGAAAATGCTTAGGAAAATTAGCAAATATTTTTTGACATTTCTCACATACACAATGTATAGCACCATCCTTAATCATAAATATTATCTTATGTTCCCACAACATTTGCCTTACTTTCAAGTGGACATTCATGGTACAGTTTTGTTTTTCTATGTCTCAGCTTTGAGTCAGAAGATTGCAGCTTCAAGTCCCACTCCGACACTGAATTGATATTCCAGTTTGACATCTCATTGCAGTACTGGAGCTGTATGTTTGGGTTGAGATGCCAAATAGACATCATCTGCCCTCTCAGATGTATGCAAAAGATCCTTTGGCACTTTTTGAAGAAAGACTAGGGATGATTTCTCCAGGTATCCTGACCAATGTTTATCACTGAATGGGTATCTCTGAAAAGCATTAAACAGTCATTTGTCACATCACGGTGCAGGGCTGGATGAACACAGCAGGCCAAGCAGCATCATAGGAGCAGAGAG